AAACTATTACAAAATGCATTTTCCAACATCTGAGATGGCACTAACACATAGGTCATCTTGCTGTTATTCTATATCAGACACGCATGCTTTGGCCTCCACCCATGGGAGTCGCTACCGACATAAATTACCGACATAAATGTCGATTTAAATATCTTGAATTTTCTTCCTTTTTTGGCTGCTTCCATTGTTTTTAGATGTCAAAAAGAACGCATTGTAGGGTTTCATTCATTGCCGCAATTCTACACCAGGATAAGTTTTTACATTCGTTTGTTGACAACTTACTCATCTCACATTTGTGGTTCTCTCCCTACTATTGAACAAAAAAGGTAGACAGTTTTTTTTAAGATTTTGCTTGATCTAGGATGTGGACGATCAATTTTTCTGTCGGGAGTGCTCACCAGCCTGTCTGCTAGCCGTCTATCAAAACGACCGTTGCCAGTTCTTGGCCAATCAACAGCAACTGGTTTTGTAATTAAATTTGAATAATTCGTGGAAAGTGGGGGGTTATCCGTTCTAATAGCGCGAATTTCACCTCCTCATTGCAAGGCTACAATCGCCTTTGCGAATGTATAAATACAGAAATTATTACGAATCTATTCAATCAAGGAGACACGATTATTTAATCGATCAAATAATCGATTCCATTTGCTCTACTTTGTCCGATAACATCCTGTCATCCATCAAATTGTTATGCTTGTGAGTCAACCATTTTACAGCCTCCCAGCTTTGGAAGGAAGCTATCTGTATCTGCATATTCTGTGCATAGAATTAGAAGCAGAAATTTAGTCGTATTCTAACTACTATTTTCGCATCTGGGTAGTAAATGTACTACTATTAGTGGTAACAGTAGTTGAATATGATTCTTTCTTTTAACTTTTTGACACCAATGTGACCAGCAGAGTGGCGTGTGCTAGCGTTGTTTAAACGTGTTTGATTGCTTCATAGAAGTGGTACTGGCATATCTAGCATTAGGGCCCACTTTAAGCCGTCAAGAAACACGACAGGTCCATCAACCAATAGTAGAACTGAATTCAAAGGGCCACGGTGGGAAATTTGAAAGTAATCAGTTGTGAACTGTTAGACAACAATCAAACACCTCTTATGGCTAACTTTGTCTTTGGGAAGCAGTTTCAAATCAACTGCGGTCCTCATTGGTCAATTGGAAATGAGTTAATTTTACATTATGCTTTAAAACGTAATTTGCGACTGGGATTCCTTGCACAAATTAGACGTAACTTCGGCATTCCATCATCTGTAAGTCTGATTCATCGCCGACTGAATGGCGCTTCAAAAAAATCTCCATGGTTTTGTAAACTCGCACTGAGAATGCTGATGAAGGTAGACGGCTTCAAAGGTGGACATGGGTTCCACACTTCACTTCTACTTGAATTATCCATTTCAAGAAGAAACTGGACATGGAAACCAATCAAAATTAAAGAATGAAATTCAAAAAGGTGATTGGCCACTTCCCATCATAATTCTAGTCCTTGATGTGAAGTAAACGACGAAGTTCTTCTTAAAACTAGGTCATTTAGTTAACCACGCAAAGTGAAATCAAGCGATGTGCGATAAACAATTGATTCCAGAAGGTAATTCCTGTGGCGACGGTGGACTAGGCCACTCTAGAACGTGACGAATCAGTGTAAACACAATCACAAACACGCAATCTTCTAGTCTGTAGTTATGTTCAGTGGTACTCCAATGACCTTGACTGACATATCATTAAAACAACTACACGAACTTAATACTTCCAGAGTTTGAATTAAAAGTGCCACGGCGTGGACGATGCTCATTTCGCAAAATTGCGTGGTAAAGCTAAGATTGTCTTCATGGCTTTTGGACCGACTGCGACCAATCAGATTAAAGGCGCCAGGCGAACAGTGTTTATGGCTGCATATAACGCATCATTAAAAAATCACATGCAGAAAGCCGCTTTTTGCTTACTCGTTGTCCTTTTCCTAATGGGCACTAAGCGTGAATTGGTGGCAGTGAGTCCTAATTGCTGTTAAAATCAATTAAATTTAAAAGTGAACTTTTGCCACTAACCCAATCTTGTCATCATTTCCACGCTTCTGTCTAAATTAGCCAATGAAAGCAGTTTTCTCCCTTTTACCTTATCATTTTCACCTTCATCATCAATTCGGTCTGGTTTTGATCAAATCGATTTACACATCACAACTTTCGCTCTTAATGAAACCTAAAGCCTTAGTAGATCAGCTAACAGGCCTTTCTGATTTGCACAATTCAAGGTCATGTAAAATTCACCATCATTGACCAATCAAATTCACCTCGCAGTGATGCTATCGCCGCTATTTCTTGACCACACTGGCGTCAGACTGCGTTTAACACTAGCTTTGATCGATTGGTTATCAGGTGTAGATGTGTCTATCTCAAACCTAGAGGAATTGACACAAGTGTCACACACAACCAGTAATTGTACTTCTGTTCTGGAAAAAGCTGATTGGTCGATGATCGTCTCCTATCGAACACTTTTCCACCTATCTCTCAATTTACTGGCATCAAGATTACAAATCGATCGATTGTGCGTTCCCCATCATTGTTGGCAGTAGGTGATGGGACCCACATAGTTCTAGTTAATTTGTTTAAATGAATCACTTCTCGTAGCCAATGACAGGGTGGTTGAGGAAGCTTGGTTTGATTACACCAATTTTTAGCCAATCCGTTATGTGGCATTTGCAACCCAGGTTGTCCGTCAATCCACTGCTTTGCACAGTTTCGAAAAATTCCTTTTTTATCATATTTGTCACGTTTTTAAATTAACAATGACCTCAAATAAGTACTATTCGCCATCAGAGCCAGCGATTGTTTACATATTCCCTGCCAGATATTG